GCGCAAATACAATAAAAAAATTATAATGTCATGGTAACACAATGCAGTCAATACATGTTACATATTACACGCTTACCCAATTGATTAAAACAATAAGTTGTATCAACATTCAATCGCATGGTAATTATATTGTACTTGTACATGGTTATGTCATGTGATGTATTATATTTGTTGTACTTATGCTAATAACTAGCACGTATAAAGGTAATTATTTGTGTTCATTTCTAGAGAATCATACGATTAATTTAGACCCTTGAATACATTTTCTGGACTACAATGCAAATTGCCACGTTCTACACCAGTGGATCTCTTAGTATCGTAAAGTAAAGGTTACAATCAACACATAATATGTTCCAGGGTAATCTTGCCACTGTATATGTGCATAAGCTTGACAATCTGTGGGTATTATTTAACACTATAGATATACTCGTTGCACCACTTTTTGAATGTTGTACTGTCTGATGTCGCCAATATGCTCAAGGATATTTATGGCGATATATATTGTAGTCGTAGGCTTGTTAATCTGTAGATATGTCATCATGATACAAACATATACACTACAACAGTTCTGTCGTTGCACTAAATCGAAGCACCTTGGAAACCAAATGTCGTATGTTTGAATAACACCTTTACACGTAACAAACAAACGTTAATTTGGATCACCACTGCTGAATCAACACCTATTCATTCGTCTGCATTTCTCTACATACCATTGTGTATTTTGTTTAGTGAATGCACTGTAAATGTTCCGTCTCGCTGTTACATTATTGTACGGATTAGGTTGTATAACAGTCCTGATAATCGTTTATTTAATGCTATATTAAGATACTTCGGAACATATGCTGCGACACTTTATCTCAACCACAACATGAAAACAAAATAAAAAAACAAAAAATGTGGTCATTTCAAACCTCTCAATTTACAAGGTTGTATAATGCTATGTAAGCACATCATCTTTGTAATCACTGTGACGGAATCCACTATGTTTTACAGTACAATATAAGTTCTCCTCGTATTTTTGCAATGTGTGTAAACTAAACTTAAATAGCTCCTACAGTGTTTGTATGTGTTATTTATCGTCGTCGATAAAATGTTTTGTTCTCTTCTAGCAATATGCCGTATAGGTTGCTTATCACATAAATAAACACAGTGCAGTTCTTCGGAGAGTATCATCATTTGTAAAAACACTACAAACAGGTAAAGTATTGCAATGAAATTTATTAAAATATGACTCAAGCAAATAATACACATGTACTCAAAACGAGGCTGCCAGCACCTGATACCCAGATACGACAGAGATGGCATACCAGCAAAGGCAAGGCAGTAGATCAAGATATAAACAAAAATTAAATTACAAAGCTATAAGCTAATAAACTCAAACAGGCAAACAATAAAATTACCAAGCTATAAACTAATACTCACATAAAATCAGAAATAAATAAATTGGGCGTGAAGGCTTCTCTCTCATCCCACATGCGAGTTGGATCCCCTAGGCAAAGGATGACTTGCTAAGCAGAAAAGGGGGTCTGAGGTAGCCACTAAGAAACCAAGAGATCAGACGGAGCGTTCTAGAAAGAAGGGGGTCTCGGTGAAATAGAATGGTAGGTGAGACCTGACGGTACATCCTGGGAGGAGGGGGGACCTCTTGAAGCCTGATTACTGCGTCCCAGGCTGGGTGAAAGAAGGCCTGGTGAAACCTGATGGTTGCGTTCCTGGGAAGGAATGGGATCAAGTGAAGCCAGCTGGCTGCGTCCCGGGATAGCCTAGCCTTAAAGTTGGATAAGGTGGTCAGGGATATTGGCTTATGCTGCTGTTGTAGCTGCGCCTATTCGGAACAAATAACCAGCAAAAAGGTGGAAGGAGAGTCAAAGTCGAGTTAAGAGTGTACGAAGGGAGTCCGTAAAAAAGAGTGGCGATAAAAGGGAACTCCTTCCGGAAGCAGTAGGAAAAGATCGCTAGGTTTAGCATGCATACAGTTTCGTAAAGCAAGGAAGCTGCGAGTCGGAAAATATTGGAGGTTGATTCCTCTGCGGAATTGATCAGTTTTTGATGATTTAATATGAATTGAGATAACATCTAATTTACCGCAACGTAAACAAAGTTGATGTCAGGAATGTACAAGTGCAGATCAGGGTTAAAATCAAATTGGGGGCACGTGATTTCGCTGCAGCGCAGAAAACCAAGGTGAAGCTGATAGGCACAATATACGACAAAAAATAAAACAAAATGTCCTCGGAATTTAATGGAAAAGTACAAGAACTGCCTTGACAATTGTAAAATGCACAGAAACGGAACCAAGCTTTGACCCTTGTAGCATATAATTGAACTGTTCTCAAACTCAATGATACTTGTTGAAACTGGGTGATGGCCCGATTTAGCCGAATAATATTGCTGAGGGAACTTGGCATGGTATCTTTTGAGCCATTGGTGCTGCTTCCCTGAAACTACGAACCTGCTAGGATATCTCTTCGTAGGGATGGTGAAATAAGCTAAATAAAAGGTAGAGTTTCCGATGATGTCCCACGTGAACGAAATAAATCGTTTCCCAAAGGCATGATCGGCGTTGGAGCAACGTTAGTATTCAGAGCGCTTTGGCTGTTCGTCACTCAGCTGTTGCGACTCAGAGTTTCCCGCTTCCTGTTTGGGGCGAAGTCACTTTCCGTGTTTGGTGTTGAAACTGCATGGCGACGATATTGGCTAGGTTGATGACAGACAATTGCAGATTCTGTATTGTCTGAGGGGTGACAACTGCAGGATTCGGACCCTGATCATTCTGATGACTGCAGCTGCTTGGGCTGGTATGACCGTTGATTGGAAATTCGGCGCTGCAGAATGATCGGTAAGACTTCTCGTTGGCGGATTGCCAGCTGATCAAGCGAGGAGTTAGTTACATTAGAGGTCGTTGTCTGGATCTTCGTCGTTTGCCTTGTTACTGGTCGGGTGTAAGGAGCAGCACGATGAGCGTTGCCTTTTGTTGCTGGGGATGACCTTTTCGTGGACGAACAATAGTAAAAATTGGCGTTGATTACAACTTTCGATCTCGAACCAAACTCACAATCAGGAACTCTTTAGGATCTACCTGACGTAGCACCAGGAAAGAATGCAAGGAAGTAAATTGACAACACCATTGATGTTGATGTCTGCTACTGTAGTTCAGAAACAAAGACGAACATAATAGCGAAAATATATAATAGCAAAATGACAGCATGCGCGAGTGACCAGGAAAAAAAATGAATGAATAGAAAGGGCACAAGACAAAGGAAACAAGTGACGCAATGTGTCGTGTGCACGTAAACTTGGTCCTGATTGGCTATAAGGGAAATCTTAAAAACAAATACACAACAAGAAAATAACGTATAGCAGGCCCCTTAGTTGATGGATAAAAAATTGTTTATTTACGAACTAGTACATTAGTAACCACATGTACACAATAATCTGCAGAGTACTACATACAAACAACTGTGCATTCCTTCGATACACACAACACCTATATAAATTCAGATTGACAGAATGCCAACTTATTTAGCTATATAGGTAATAAATTCCTTGAAACACTGAATAAATGTC